GTTGTAAACACCCAGTGGAAGGAAACCCACTTGGAAGCAACTCAAAGCCAAGAATTTTCCAAATCTTCGAAGAATGGGGGGTCCACCTTGACCTTTCAAAGGGGGGGTTACTACTGGAAGTGCTGTGGTTCTCCCCTGCACCCCCTGCCCTGTCTCCCCGCATGGGCCCCCACAACCTGAAGCACACAAAATGGCACGAGGCTCCCAAAGAATGATGCTTACATCATCTGCTCTGGGAGCTGACCCTCCAACCACAGTTTAAACACACACAGGCTTCACAGAAGCTCCCCAAACACACTACAAGGACTGAAATAAGGTGTTGGGCGGTAAAAAGTTGCTCCTCTCTTGGTACATGAAGCCTGACGCCAGAGACCAGACTGACTTCAGCCAATCCAAGTAACTCCGGTCCATCCCAAGGAACCCCTTGGCACTCAAGGGGCTCGGAAGCAGAGGCCAGACCTCCCCATGACCCTGCTCCCCTTGACCTCCACCCACCTCCACCCTCCTCCCAAGCACACACTCAGCTTTAAATAGCAGCACATCAGCAGTCATGGACTTAAAGTTAAGCAAACTCTTAGAAGTGTTCTGGTCATCTAACAAGCCCTTGCTGCTCTTGTAAAGAGTCAAGGCCATACAAAAGGCTGACTAAGGTCCTCCATCAACTTCATGCTCCGGTTAGTTTTTCTTTCCTTCTGAATTATGGTGGTGACGCGTTTCTTTAATTACAACCTGCTAAAATTGAGGACTGCAGCCGGCTTGGCTGTACCATGGCACCAGCACTGAGCACACACTGACTTCACTGAGCAGTCAATGGCATCACCTTGACCCCAGCCTACTGGAACAAGGGTGTGCTCCTCAGTTCCCACACACCAAAAGCACTCAGCCCAACTCGGGTTAGCTCACCAAGAACCACCTCAGCATCACCCATGTGATGACTCTGGGATGGCCTGTGGTCATTTATGGCTTCCAAGAAAAGGTTCCTCATCCCCCATAACCGAGCAAGCTGCCCAGCATCAAGATGCTCTTCTCACAAGGCCCTTAAGAGCTTCCCAAAAGAAAAAAACATAAGGGTGCCAATGTCCCAATCTGGATATAACATCCCAACCTGTGCCATGCACAGTGGGCCAGTGCCATGTTACAGCCAGTCCCGCTGCCACGGGGAACCAACCCCAAGCACCGAGGCATTTTCACACCGTTCAGCTGCATCGCCTGCACGAACATAGATGGTTTTCAAAGCGAGCCACACAAACACTTGTGGAAAAGGGCATCAAGGGCTTTCTCGGGCTCCCTCCACCATCCCCAGCGCCCCGCAGGCGCGGACGAGACCCTGGCACCGGCACCCGCTATCAAAACGATAAAGAGCCACTCGATAAAGCTCTGCTCCTACTACTTCCTGCGCACAGCAGCCCTGCACCGCTGGGAAAACCACCACGGCGGCAGGGAAGGAGCTGGGAAAACTCTGCCCATCTTCAAAACACACGCAGGGCTCCTCCAAACGCTCTACACCAACCGGAGCAAAAAAAGAGCTGCTTCCAGCCCCTAAGCGAGCTCCGGGAGAAGCACGCCCAGCACAGAAGTTTCTTTGAGAGAAGTGATGCAAAGCGTGGCAGGAGCCCGGATTGCAAAACAAGTAATAATAAATAATAATCAAAAACCGAGGTTTTGCCAAGAAAGGGACCGTCAGCAGGTCGCTGCTGTAAAGCACTGCCCAAGGAACGCATGTGCTCCGGGTCCCGGCGCTTCCACGCTAGTTCGGGCCATCCCCCGCGGCCCCCTCAGGCCCCGTTCCGAGCGGCAGCAGCCAGGCTGGCGCCGGCAGGACGCGAACGGCCCGTTATGGCCCCTCCTGCACCTCAACAGCGGAGGAACCTCCGCGGGACGGGGAGGAAAAGGGGCTCTTTAAGCAGAAGTGGGAACTGGGGAGGGGGAGAATGCCATCCCGGAGCCAAGAGCATCCCCAGGGTTCAAATAAGCCGAGGAAGGGGCCAGATGCCCCAAATCACGGGGGAGAGAAGGTCCCCGACTCCGCTCCTCACCTGGCCCACAAAGGCGGCTGAAGTGGTAGGGGTTGCAGCAGACGGTGGGTCCGTCGGCAACGCCGAAGCTCTGGCACTCGCAGAGGGGTTTCAGCTCGGCGGGGTGCTGCAGGTCGGGCCATCGGAAGAGTTTCCCCAGGAGGAGGTGGGGGGGAGCCGCATGTCCCCCCAGGCGCAGCTCCGTGCGGGCCACCAGCACGCAGCCGCTGGGCATGCCCCCGCGGGACTCCACCGCCTCCAGCAGGCTGTCCAGCGAGCGCTCCTTCAGCCGCTTCAGCAGCGAGTAGGTGACGGCCTTCAGCTCCTGCTCCAGCAGCACCAGCCGCGACCGCGCCTCCCGGCCCCGCCGCTCCGGGGAGCCGCCGTCGGCCGCGCCGTCGGGGCTGGGGTGGCCGCCGACGGTGTCTGTGTCCGGGGGCTGGGGGCCGCCCGGCTCCCGCTCCTTGAAGAGGCAGCAGGTCACGGTCCGACCGTCGCTCTCCGGCGCCCGCCGCGGGCTCGCCCCGCCGGCGCCGTCCCGCCGCGGTGGGGAGCGGAGCCGGGCCCCGCGCCGCTCCGCCATGGGGTCCCCGCGGGGCGCCGCCTCGCCCCGCCGCTCCTCCGCCTCCCGCAGCAGGCTGCGCGCTACCGCGCGGATCTCCGACGAAGGGTTTTTCTCCGGGATTTTACAGCTACCGGTGGCTCCGAGGTCGTGGCCGCTCCTGGCGCTCCCATCTCCGCCGTCCCTGTCCGGAATGACGCGGCTCCTCCAAAGTCGCCGCACCAGCCCTGAGCGTTTGGACCTGAACATACGACACGCGGGCGGCCGGGGGTCGCGTCGCTCTCCGCCGCTTCCCCCCCCCCCCTCCGCGGGGCTCCTCGCTCCGCCGCCGGCTCTATCTCATCTCAGACCCGCCGCCCTCGCAGCCTGCCCGCACTTCCCGGCGCCGCCGTTTCCCCGCGGCCCTTCCCAGCGAATCGCCGACGGCCCGCGGCGGGGGCCGCACCATGGGGGAAGGCGGCGGGGGAGGGAGCGCAGCGCGGGCATAGACGGTGCCGCCGGGGTTGCGCCGATGCCCGCGGGCGGTGCGGGGCCGCTCCCGTGGCGGCGCTGGGGCTCGGGCGCGCCGCGCCGTGCCCTACATCGGCTGCCAACGCGGGGACGGGGCCGGGGGGAGCCCGGGGCAGCGCTCGGCTGCGCCCCGCGGCTGCTCCACCGTACAAGGTGGGAGCTGGGAGAAGATGGGTGGAAGCGGCGCCGGGTTCCGCGCTCGGAGCTGCCGGTTCCGTTCGGCCGAAAATCGTTCAAAAAACAGAAAAATTATTTAAAAAAAAATAAAAGGTAAAAAATGATCAAAAGCAGCAAAAGGGCGAGACCCGCGCGCGGCCGCTGCCCGCGCACACGCGGGGTCTCTCTGCCCGCTCCCGCTCTCGTTCCAGCTCCGCTCCCGCCGGGTCCCTGCGCACGGCTCCCGCCGGCGCGCCCGCTCGCGCCCGCCCCCCCGCCCTCCGCTGGCTTTTGTGTGGCTGACGGGGGGGGGGTGGGGGGTGTGTGTGGGTGAAAAGGGGGGTGGCGGGGAAGAGGGAGGGAGGGAGGGGGTACGCGCGCGCGCGCTCGCGGGGCCCCTTCGCGAGCGGCGGCGGGATTGGCTGCCGCCCATCATGTGCCAGTCTAGACACTTTGGCGGCTCCGCGCGGCACCGGGCGTTGCGCAAACACCGCATCGGGTTTCCGAGCTCTTAAAGGAACACGAGCCCCGCTGCACGAACACACACACACACACACACACCCGTCACCAGCCGCCCTTCCCTCTCTCCCTCCCTTCTTCCCTCCCTCCCACCAGCGGGGACCGGGGATGGCAGGAGGAGGAAGCGGGGGGGCTGTGTCCCGCCGCGGCCCCCAGCCCCGCGGAAAGTAGGTCAGGGCGGCGCGCCGGCAGCGCAGGGGTTAAAGCCGCTCCCCCCCCGCCGGAGCCGCCGCGGCGGGACACACCCCCGCGATGTATCAACTTGTCCGCCGCGGCAAAAGTTCAGGCCCGGCGCGCACCCATTGGTCCCCCGCGGCGTGACGTCATGGCAGCGCCACAGCTTATTGGTCCGGACGCCGAGCCGGCACCGCCCACCCCCTCAAGCGCCTCCCGGCGCGGCGTGCCCGTGAATGAAAGACATTCCGCGGGCCGCGCCGCGCAGGGTCCTTGTGCCCGCCCGGTGCCCCGGCCGCGGCCTCGGGGGATGGGGGGGGGGGGGGTTGGGGCAGGACGGACGGGCGGCTGCAGCGGCGGGGCAAGGCCGCCGGCAGCGGGGGCCCCGGGGGTAGGGGAGGGCCGACGGGGAGGCACGGCGCCGCGTCCCGCCCCACGCGGCCGGGTGGGAACGGCGGCGGCGCGGAGGGAGGGAGGAGGGTGCCCCTGTGGGAGATGCGGGTGGGGATGGGACACCCCACCCCCCCACCCCCCCCCCGTTAATTAAAAACTGAATGAAATACCGTAAAAAACCGATTCTTCTTGCGGGGTTCAGACGAGGAGGTCCCACGGGCACAGCAGCCTTTGGCCGTGGCAGGGACACGCTCCGGAGGCACCGGCTGCAGGGCTCGATCCTGGGGGGTTGGGGGGTACATTCCCCTCGCTCGTGGAAAGCAGCGTGGTGTGGGCCAGTGGGAACCTGGAATAGCAAGTGATGGAGCTTTGTCTGGGGGCTCAGCCCGGGAACCCACGGGGAATTGTCAGTGATGAGTGAAAATGAATCTCAGCAATTATTTCCCTGCAGCTGATCAGCAGGGAAAAAAACACCCCCAAAATAAACCAATAAAAGTATTTCAACCAAGAAACTGCAGTCAGACCTGGATGTTCATCGTTTTCCTTGTATCTTTGCATAGCCAAAGGTTGATGTCCACATTTCCCCAAACCTGCAGGAAAACACCCAATACACTTGGTTAAGTTAGTACATTTTTTTACAGCCAACTTCATTCACGTGCATCAACTACGTAAGGGATGGCAAAATACCCCATTTAAAACCTGTATGTGGGACCCAGTGGTGTTTGCACCAACATGAAGGTAACACATCCATAGGTCTTTGACTTCAGGGTTACTTCTGCCCTTAACTGACCAAAGCTCCTTTTCCCTTGCCCTTTCTGCAGTAAAACCAGGTGATGTTATTTGGGCACTGGCTCACTTTGGGTGGAAATGATGTTCGTCATGGCCCTGTGCTCTCACTGACCTGCAGAGCAGCTACAGTTTGCACCTACATCACCATTATCACCATTTAGAGCTATTTACAAAAGTCAGCTGATGTCTCACTGTGTTAGGAAGATCCTAATAGCTTCTTTTTGCATTAGGGAATGAACACAAGTTAAGTTGAAAGTCATGGAAGGGCTGAAAATAAAGATTCTCAGACATGGAAGCAGGAATTAGGATTTCCTGGATCTTGGACCCAGGCAGGATCCCTGCCCATCCCTAGGCTGCTCCAGAGAAGTTCCAAAGCTTGTTTAATATCCACATTGATCAATATGCCCTGCATGACCCCAGCATTTACCCCTTAAATGCAGCTGACGCTTTTCTTTCCAATATCATATTTACAGACTCCCAGCCAAATTACAGTATGTCACAAATGTGCAATTACCCACATTTAAATACACATAAATATAGCACTGTTTAAACTAAGGATAGGTTATTATTTCAACGTCTTACTGCTTATCCAACACTATATAATCATAGTGCGTGTAGCATGGCATGAAGAACAATGGAGCTTTCATGGAATGCCGACCATCTCTGCGGGCACAGGTATGTGATGGAGAAGCCCTGATTTCCCCCTCCAGTGCCACCCATTCCAGCTCCTGCAACAAGAGCACATTGTTCCTTGCACTAACGTGGGCAAGGAAAACAAAACACTCAATTGTACTTGTCATAATGCACATATAATTTTTAGTAATGTTGGTTACTAAAGGATTTCTAGTAATTAACAGCAATGTGCTCTTTCACTGTCTCTTTTTCCCCCACCTCTTTTTCTTTGCTTGTAATAACAAACATTCCTGGGAGATGCTCTGGAACACATCCTATAGGACTTGGCACAAAAGCTAGGGAGAAGCTTTTGAAAGCCTGCCAGGCTTATCTGACATGGATCTCCCAGGTACTATATAAAGCCAAACCCTCTTGGGTCTGAGAGGATGGTGGGTGGCCGAAAGGGCATCAGCACCAGTCTCGTTCCAGAGCCAGTCTATGGCTGGGGGTTGCCATTGTGTCCATGCCTGTGGGGTCAGAGGCATCAGCAGGCACTGGGTTTTCAGTAAGGAAAACTAATCTTATAATAATTTTCAGCTTTATTTATCTCTAGTATTTTATACATTTCCGGTCAAAGAGAAGGATGCAGAGGTTAAAGCCCAAAATGAATAATGGCCATTTAAATAATGCTTTGATGGCTCGATTTGTAGATTATTTAAACGCTTTGAAAATGGGGTTGAGCTGGGAATCCCACTGTGGGGCAGTGAGGGTTGGGGACACACTGCACCCCCATGTCACAGCCTGGGGACAGGGACATGGAGTGTATGAGCCCCACCAGAGAAACCACAACGGAACTGCTGCGCCAGAGCGAGGGGTTCTGCCAAGAACTAAACCGCCTCATAAAATCAGGCTGGTTTTGCTGGAAGCTGATTTTGAAAGGAACCAGAGAAAAAAGGTTTTGACAACATCAGAATGTCCCATTTCCTTTGTTTTAATGACATGGCCGTGATTTTCCAGTTCAAACCGACTTTTCATTTTACCCTTGCAAATGTTATATTCTGTGTGGTAACACACTGTGATAGGACCTTGGACTGTCTTCAAAATGGAAAGAGCTAAAATCAGAACAAGGCATTCTGATAAATCCAAAGTTGTTAAAAAAATAGATGTTTGAAGAATTTTCCTTCATGGGGAATTTCACAACCGCTGGGCTCCGTGCTCCCAGAGCTTGGCACCATGAAATCCTTGATGCAGAGGATGTGATCCACCCCACCACCTCAGTGTCTGCCTCCATCCCGGGTGGGCTGCAGCTACAGCAAAGCCCATCCCAGCTCCTCAGGGCTCCTGTTGCAGCCATCCTTTGCCACCACTCCTAGGACACGTGTCAGGGGAACACACTGTGGGTTGTTTCACATCACCGTACACTGTTAAGACCTGGGGTTTGCTACCTCCATGTGTTTTCCAGTTGGCAATAAATGCAGTGTGTAGATGGCTCCGAGATAGCCTGAGGTCAGTGGTTTGCACAGACTGCTCTGAGTTGTGTGCGTGCTCCCGTGCAGCTTTTGCCTGCATCCCAATGGGGAGCAGAGCAGCCCCTCGTCTCCTGGGACACCTCTGTATGACCTTCCTCCCTGCCAGGAGATGCCCACATCAATGCATTTATATCCCAGCACAGCGATCCGGAGGGCTCTGCACTGGCAAAGTTTGTGTTGGCACCTTTCCTCCAAGTGGGATGAAAGTTTTGCCATCCAGCGATCCCAGCCAAATCCCCACTGGATCTGGTGGCACCACGGCGCATGCTGCGTTTGCTGCCTAGGTCCAACCTGTCCCACAGGGCCTGGGGGGTGAACTGGGGCCACGGCAGCCAAATTGCTCAGGGACAAAAAGAAATTAAATATCCTCCAACATTTATCAGAATCACAAAGGGGATGGGTCGAAAAAGGGACAAAATCCAATGGGAATTCACCAAAACCCGCGTTTCACTGGACCTGAAATTAATGTTAATGGGTTAATGGAAACTCCACAAGGCAAAAACTGCAGGAGTTTCCAGGCTTTTCAAGGCCCTTCCCACCAGTATCTGCTGTGGGTGGGGACAAGCTGACTCACAGTTTCCAGGGCTGTAGTAACATTTCAACACCCCAGCGCTCCAGCCTTGGGGACTGATGGCAAAGAGCACAATCCCAGCAGAATGGTTGGGAAGGATTTTTGACAATGTGTTTTCTTGTGTCAGAAAATGCCCGTTTGGTAAAGCCAAAACTTTGTTTGTTTTTTTTTTGTTTTTTTTTTGGTTGCAAATGACTTCCACAAAGTGCTGCTTGGAAAGGTTGCCTGGGCCCAAGCCTGGATTTCTAGTCAAACCCAAGGAGGTACATTCATCTCCCAACAGGTCCTCAGCTGTGGGTGATGGCACCCATCCATAGTGGTCCCTGCTGCAGGAGAGGCCCCTTGCTTGGAGCAGGGACATGGACTCTTGAATCCCAGGAGAAGACTCAGCTCTATGGGTGGTTGCAGCCTCATTTCTCTCTCGGATGCAGCTTTATAAGTCATTGTTATTTGGGGAGAAAAAGCCCAGATGAGATGGAGATGGATGCTGGAGATGAGAGCACCCATCTGAGATACGGGGTCTTGGGTTCAATTCCCTGGTTTGGGTCAGGATGAACAGGGACTGAACCACAAGTCAGGCCAGTCCACAAGACCAGGACTATCCCCTGTATTATTCCCCACTGAGCACACTGGATTAGACCAACAACTGCTGAGAACTGCTGCTGGCTCAGGAGGTTGGTATCAGTGAGGGAAGAGCAGCCACTGGCCACTGCCAGTCCTGTGCCCAGTAGCTACGAGTTGGCTTTGTTGGCTGGATGCTCAGTGAAACATTGCTAATTGATAGTTCCAGTCCCGTCCCTGCTACTGGCATCTAGGAGAGGACAAATGGCACATGGGGACAGGACCAGCCTCTGAGGAGGTTCCCCTGCTGTCACACCTCAAAACTGCTCCAACCCTGCGCTTCTGTCCAGGATGACTGAGGGCAGAAGTTCCTTAACTGCTGTATGCACTCAGTGAGTGCTGTAGAGAAGATGGGGGAGGTTAGGCCACTGCTCCTCCAGAGGTAGGTTTCTGAGGACTTCTTGGGGTTGGAAAGCAAAGCTGTGATTCCTCAAAGCAACAGAATCTTGTGACCCTACCTCTGCTTTACAGATTCATTTGACAGCTGCAGGATGTGGATCTCCTGACCACCAGTGTGGCACAGGAGTGACTGCCAGGCATCATTACTCCTCTGTGCTCTGGAACAAAGCTGCTGATGCAGGGGAAGGTCTACCACCAAACCTTCCAGTGTCTTTCCCAATGCCATTGACAGTGATTTTCTATGTCACTTTGAAGTAATAATCAGATAAAATGAGGCATGGGGGTGGACAGGATGAAGACATTGACTCTTAGGCCTTAATCTAGTGCTTTATCCAGGAAGACATCCTACCTTGTGGCCCATTATGATCCAATGTGAGCACCATGGCTGGCTCCCAGGGTTCTCACAAGCAGGTACTGGTGCAAGATGAAGTGGATGGGGAGGAGAAGTCATGTTCAGCCAGTGCAAGGATGGTGCAGCCTCTGAGACTCCTGCAGGAGAGAGATGCACATGCTCAGTCCAGCCATCCATTTGCATGAGAGAAGAGGGGATTCTAGGCCCACAACAACTCATAGCATCTACCTCAGCCCCATTCTGTCCTTCCCCAGTTGCAGGCAGCACAGCAGGGCTTTGCCATTAAACTCCTCCTGCCCTGGTCTGACTATAGGAGTCAAGTAATATCACATAAACCAGATGCTGTGTTCAAATAGGAAGGGAATCCCAACTGCCTGCATCCACCAGAGGATACATCTGAAAGCCACACCACCCATAACAAACATACAGGAGTTTGTCCTTTTTATCAGCATTTATTCAGCAGCCTGTGGAGACAGTCTGCTCTCTGGAGCCCTTTCCAGGCAGATAACACCCAGTTATGAAACTGCCCTTTACTGTTTTTTGGGTTGGCTTTGGTGAATTGTCATTTTGGAGCTGGAAAGGGTCTATCTGAGGAAGGAAACCAGTGTGGTGCTGCCACCAGGCTGGTCTAGCAACAAACGGTGTGTAATATGCCAAGCCCAGAGTCTTTAAAAGTAAATCCATCTCCCCCTATCCATATTTACCCATACAATTTGCAAACACAAACCTGGAAGTTCCCTGGGAGGGCAGGATTAAGAAAAGGATTACTCTATTTGGAGCTGGGCCAGAGAGCTGAGGGAGCCTACACCTATGTCCAAAATGGATTTTAATTGAGGTTTGTGGTGCCCAGTGGTGCTCTCCTAGAAGCAGGAGCTAAAAGCACGGTGGGGCTGGACGAGAAGGAAGCATCGGTTGACGAAGCCATCAAAGAAGAGCTGAGAAAGGTCAGATATAAATGGCAACCTGTCCGTTTATGCAATAGTTTGCTCTTCTATTTATGATGGTATTTTCTGGGAAGAGCTGGTCAGAGCCAACTAGGGCAGGCTTGTAAAAAGATAATTTTTCTGCCTTAGAAAACACAAAGGCAGACAGACGGGGCTGCTGGCTTTCCTCCTTTCCCAAGATCTGCTGCCCTGGGCAATTTGTTCTGTTGCAGCAGCTTTTTGCTGAAGTGACTGGCGTCTGGTGCGCTTCAGAGCAGACGCCAGTCACTCCAGTAAAGAGCTGCTTACCACAGCTTTGGTAAATATTTTCTGCAGTGGTGCAGCAGTGTCTTAAAGAGCAGCTCTGTTATTTCATAGGCATCTCCAATAATAACGCGGAGAGAAGCAGCCACAAAACATTAGCAAAAGCTGCTGCCACTGACCAAAACTTCAGAGAAGCAGGAACAGAAGTGGGAAGAGAATAGAAATAGTGACTGAGTCATTGGCTGGAGAGGCTGAAAGCAGCAAGGCTGAAAGCAGCTTCAAAAGCTGGTCCCAGGACACCAGCTTCCCCCAACTGCTTGCAACCTCAAAATGGGGATATGAAAATCATTATGGGAGAAAGAGAATACTGTCTTCTCTGGTCTGAGCCTGGACTGAAGGTAGCCAGAGGCAATCACTTCTAAAGTACCAAAACGACATCTCTTTTTGCTCCAAAACTGTGTTTTTGAGTATCTCTGCTGGCAGCTGGCTGTAGGATCTCCAGGGCTTGCTCATGCAGAAGAACGTGAAAATAGAAAGCAGGATTAAGGAGGAAAGGAGCTGACCCTAAAGTCATTGGCACTGCTGGGTGTTACTGAGAGCAAATCATCCTTAAATAGGATACAGAAGTATGCAGTTTGACCCAGCAGTAGCACAGTTGCTTCTTAGACACCCAGCACATGGAGCAGGCTTTGCTGAGAAAGGAGGTGGTGGCTGGAAGCCACTCAGGTCTCCAGGGGATGTTCTCCATCCCATTGCCACACCATGGAATGAGAAACTCCTCTCTGAGCAGGCACCCTGCAGGGTCGGTCCTGCTGTACCTTGAACAGTGCTGAGAAGACATCTCTGTCCAGGAAACTGCTGGCTCCAACATCTCAGAGATGATCAGAAGCAGCAGCTTCTTCCCTAAGGCAGCCTGGGTGCCAGCAGGATGTCTCCCTGCTGGGCAGCCACCCCAGCTGCCAGTACATGGGCACAGACCTGTGGATGAAATGCTGAGTCAGGCAGCCCTGGAGGTGCAGGTCTCCCCTGCAGACCCCAGACGTCCTTTTGGAGCCACAACTGGGGTTTTCCATAGTTCAGCACTAAACCTTCTCACTGCTATTTTGGTGCCAGGTGTCTCTAGCAGCCAAGCCCTCGGGGGGTGTAAGTGGGGTAGCCCTGATCACCTTCCCTGGATAGGTCCCAGCCAAAATCTGACCTCTTGTTTACCTTCTTACACAGATGATTACCTGGGACCATGCCTGACTCCACAGCCTGACCCCGCATGCTGGCTCTTACCCACTCTACCCAAAGTCCAGCCCATGCTACAACTGACCTGGCACAGGGATGCAAAACTGTCCCGATGTCTGGAAACAGCAGAAGGCTTCCTATGGCCCGTCAGGCTATCCAGGCACAATGTGGGATGAGAACAAGAGGATGGAGCACTGACTGGAGCAGATACCTCATAACAAATGACATTTTACATGAAGTGAGTGTTTTTTACCTCTCAGCCTCTTTTTTTTGGCTACTGAGTAAATGATGATTAATGCACGATCATCAGCTGTGGATGAACTGAGACCAAAAAGGCAAAAGGGTGATGGCTTTATCCTGCCCGAGGGGAGACTGAGATGAGCTCTTAGGCAGAAGCTCTTCCCTGTGAGGGTGCTGAGGCGCTGGCACAGGGTGCCCAGAGAAGCTGTGGCTGCCCCATCCCTGGCAGTGCTCAAGGCCAGGTTGGACACAGGGGCTTGGAGCAAGCTGCTCTAGTGGAAGGTGGTTGGAACTGGATGAGCTTTAAGGTCCCTTCCAATCCAAACTGTTCCATGATTCTATCAAATTGTGTTGCATTAAAAAGAATAATCCCCAAGTTAGGACATCATTTTTGTCTCAGCTGACAGAGCTGCCAACACCTCCCAAAGCCACCTCCAACTGAGGGCTGCAGCCTGCTCCTGCTTCCACATCCCCATGCTGTGGCACTGGTCACCATTTGTGCCAAAGACCCCCTGGCTCACCCATGCCTTGTACTGAGGAACAGCATGCTGCCAGTACAGTCCCCATACTCTCAAGGCAAATGTTCGACACACAGGACAAGAGAATGACATCAACCACCCCAACACAAGTTATTAATCTCGCCATTAGCCAAACAACAAACGTTCCTCCCCGAGTCGTAAAGCAGGGGTGGCATTTTTATTAGCTGAGGTTTCCTCCTTCCTTTTTTTCCCTTCCTTTTTTATGGCCTTATCCACAAATGCTGAGAGCCAGAGGGAATTATTTGTTACTTACATTAAAGCAAGAAGCCATCAGACCACAGCTCCACAACCACTCCCCATATCATTATTTTCTTCTTTTGGATTTATATGAACCTCGTTATTAAACCTTAGCTAATGCAGACATCCTAACAATGCACGGAGTGCTAATAACTGCTAAGCAGCATTATTAATTATTGTCATTACAGCATTGCAAATAGATTTTGATTATATTAAAGAGAATACTTTCCTACTTTTCCAACCAAAAAAATCCACAAATGTAGCTTATTAACAGCAATTCTATTCTTCTTGGTAAAACTATTGTTAGATTGCAAAGGCAGCTTGTCTGGGCCCTACAAAAACCATATCACGCTGGGATGGCGTGGCATGTTCTCAGACTGGTGTCGCTTAGCTGGGGTTGGGGCTGGAGAGAGCTCAGCAAAATGTGTTAGCGGGGATTCAGAGGAGGAATTGAGGCCTTGAAGCATGACAGCACCCAGTGCTGGTGGCCTATAGGAGACCTAGAAATACATGCACTGCCTTTGAGCTTACATCCCCCTTATATCCCTCCTAAAGCTGACATCAGTGGATGCTGGCAGGTTCCATGAAGGCCTGGGGGAACCAGGATCATCTGTCCTATGGGTGTTTCTGTGCAGTAGGCTGGAAGCAGATATAAGCTCACCTATGTCAAGTTATAGAGCTGACGATGTACAGTATAAGTCCAAGATCCTGTGACAGGCTTTCTCATCATTAACCCTTGCTTATAGCATTCAATGAAATTACTCATGCTGAACCCAGACACAGAAGGGCCACGTAAACACACAGCCACACTTTTAATTAAAGATGTGCTGAGATAAAAAGCTTCAGAAAACAATTTTCAACAATTAAAACTAATATTAGAGGTGTTTGTCTGCCCCATCTGCATGTGTCCTGAGCAGCTGGGGAGGCTCGATGCACTTTTGCCATCACTGTTTGCAGTGATTGCTCTCCGCTTTGCTGTCAGGCTGAAGGGGCATCCAGACTCTTTGCTCCAAAGAGTTAAGATTTCACTTGTCAGGCTGTTTTTGTTTCTATTCACATGTCAGTGCCTGTCATTTATTTAGTCAATGGGACATGTCCAAGGGATGGAGACAGACTGGGTTAGTCATTCTGACCGTGGGTCGCCAGTCACTGCAAACTGCCTGAGGTCATTTCCAAAAGCGCCACTAACAATGAGAGGGAAGCTGGGCCCGGGAGACCTGCAGGAAACGGCAAGGAGATTAAAGACAGAGATAGTCCTTTGCAAAAGTACACTTGAGGAATGTTCCCTATGTTCTGTCAACAGAGTTTCTTCCTCGCTCAAGACTGTCTATTTTAAGTCTGAGCTCGCACCAAAAATGGAAATCCTTGCTCAATTGCTATCAGCGGATCTTGGGATTCTGGGGCTGCAGCAGCGCTACGGCCGAGGAAATGAACCCTCCAGCTTGGCCTTTGCTGCTGGAGCAGCTTTAAACAATTCCTCCTTGCAGCAGCAGCTCTCTTCTGGGTTTGCTCCTTTGCCTGGTTAAACCTGGCTGGAGCCCATGGTACCGCCCTGCGCTGCCTGGGAGCATCCAGCATCGTCCCACCGCTGTACCACCGGCACTGCACCTGGCTCCAGGGATGGCACCTCAGCCCATGCAGGGCAGCCAAAAGCAGAGGAGGGTTGCAAGGGCCACAGTTCAGACTCAATCCACACTTCAGGACATTCTCCTGCTTTAAGGAAGGGAATGGAAAAGAAGCATTGAAACGCAACCATAAATATTTGCTGCTGCATCTTGGGCTGAAATCAAGCCCCGTGACTGCAGATCTGGGGGAATGGGAAATTCCTCTGGCAGCCATCTGGGCGTCAAGACAAGAGCAGTTTTAGGTGCAGAGATGCACATTTTGCTTTTTAAGCGAAAGAGTACAGGCTGCTCTTATTAACACACAAGGTACCTCTGGGTGTTTTGGAAAACATTAACAGCAACCACATGATTGGTGTAAAACACTGATTTTCCATCCAGACTCTATTGTTTTCAGATAAATACATTCCATCAAGCTTCTTTTTTCGTATCTGAACTTTCTGCATGTGGCTTTTCTCTGTCTCAGACTGATAGGAATGGGGGATTAACAACCTCCTCCTCATGGTGGCCCAGGAGGAGCCACCGGAGCCCAATGACTCAGAAACTAGTGACAGGGACTAACCCAGCCCTTTGGTTTGGGTGCAATCACCAGTGACATGGGACAGGGGTTAAAGGTAAGGAAGGGGCAGGAAAAGGAGCTGCACAGTGGATTTGAGCTGCTTTGCAGAGGTAAGGAAAAGCAGCAAATGCATTTCTGTCTTAGAATGCAAACATCCATCATGGACACAGATGAGAGTATCCAAATTCCTCAGTGTTGTATTTATGAAGCCATTCGGAGACATGATACAGGCCAGTTCCTGAAGATTTTTCCATGTGTTGTTAAAGATTCAAATTACAGAGCAATTTTCAGGCTTTGAAGACATTGGTCTTGGTATTGCAGAGCCTGGAGGCTGCTCCAGGCAGGGTCTGTCTGCGCTGCAGACAGGAGATAACGCAGAGCCACCACCAGCACTGAGCGAGCTCAGGAGTCAGGAGCAGGCCAGGAATGACGGCACGGAGGCACTGGGGGGAATTTGCTCTGCTTGCAGATAAGGGAAGCATCCTGCTTTAAAGCACAGGGTAAACAACTTTTAATATGCAAGGGAATTATCTGGAGAAGCCCCCAGGAGGAAGCGTGTCTAGCATGAGGCTCTGCAGGCACATCCGTGCTGCGTGGCACGGCACTGTGCAGGGATGGTCGCCCAGCCTGGACACCCAGGTGGATTTGGGTATCCAAATCCATGCTCATGGATGCTCACCGGGGCCACGTGAGGCTCCACCAACTTGCAAAAGGGAATTGAGATAGTTGTGTTTGTCTCCATGAGAAGAGCGAGGCTCCTGATCTGTTGGTGGCCTCATGGTTGCCCATGTAGGACTTGGGCCACCCAAGGGAGAAATCACCAAAGAGTTGGGTGAAATCAGAAAGACTTAAAAACTCTTTTTCAGCTCAAAACTGGCAATACCAATCACTTTTCCCCACTGATTTCAAGGCAAGGTTGGATGGGGCTTGGAGCAACCTGGTCTAGTGGAAAGTGTCCCTGCCCATGGCATGGGGTTGGAACTAGATGAGCTTTAAGATCCCTTTGAACCCAAACCATCCTAGGGTTCTTTGATAATTACACAGAATAACCGACCTAATTAAATTTGGGTGTGTTTTCATTGATAAGGCTGTGAAAATGCTCAAGGCTGGAGAAGACAAGTTTCATCTCAGAGTGACAGCATTCAGGAGAAGGAACGTGATCACAGCTGCTCCCCAGTGCTCCCCATGAAGCTGCAGGGTCCATCTCACTGCAGGGTCCATCTCACTGCAGAGCCACAGTCTGAACCCTGGATGAGCATCAATCCTGCATGGCATTCCGGGGAATGCGGGCACAAGTTCAGCCCTTTGCCTTATCACAGAGAGGGGGATGGAGGGAGCAGAAAGAGCTAATCTCAAGTTCAGAGCCTGATTTACGGCTGAGGCCTCAGGCAAATCACTTACTGGCTTTGTGGTTTCATTTCCTCATCCCTAGAATCGCTTTCACGGGTGATGTGTGAGGGGGAATTAACATTCAAACGTTGTTTTTAATAAATATTTAAAGATTCATCTTGTGTTTTATGACTATTTCTGAATGATCTTCCTGCCCTTGGGTAAGGGTCTTTCCCTGCCAGCTCTTTAATCTGAGCTCCTCTCCCTGGAGTGGGTGCGATGGCTCTGCTGCAGATTTGTGCTTTCATTGAGTAACAATTAAGCTGCCCCAGTTCAACATAAAGGCATGTAAAGAAAGTTCTCTGCTGCCAGTTCCGCATCACACCGCGCTGGATGCCAGCAGGACACATCAAACCAAAGTGTTCCTCTGCATCAAAACCAAAGCAGCGCCCAGCACACGCTGATGAGCAAGCTCCAAGTGACCCCCAGCACTCCCAAATTCTTTATTTCTGTGTGAAGCATCAGTCAAAAACTCTGTTTTCACCAGCTCAGCATGATTTGGAAGTGAAAGTGTGGGTTTGAAGCTACCCTGTGCTGAGGCCAGTGGAAATTCAGCATGGGTTTGACCTGAGGACTGCGCACGCTTCAGTCGCTGCCTGTTTATTGTTAAACTCATTAAAAACAT